ATAGTTTTTCTTGCCGTGTTTTGCTACGGTATAGCAAGTTCTCGATTCGTACAGTTCTCGCGTTGTTCTCGCGGTATCCAGGCAATTCTATGAATTCCTGTGAGTGTTCCGGAGGTGTAGTGCTGTGCTTTAGTGCAGTGCCCACCAGAGTGTCCTTTGGATCCAGTTCTCGGCCTCCACGGATTAGCTGCCCCAGCTCCGGTGAGTCTCCCAATTTATTAATCGGTGAAGGGATTTCGATAGATAGTTAAGATTCGTTCTGATGCGTTCTCGGTTCGTCGCTCTCTGTCTCTCGCACTATTTGCCGGACTCTTACTCCGACCCTCTCTACCTCAAACCTAGCAGCCTGAGCGGCCGCGCATTTCCGTAACCGTCCGCTCCCGTTCGTGTATCCAGGTGCGTTCCTCGATTTTACGCGTCCTCAAAAATCTACATGATCCGTTCAGTTATCGCCTCCTCTGATAGGTTCCGTCAGAGCTCTCGTTTTGGTAGATTTGGGCCTGTTCCAGCCCAACTCGCAGTTCCCGGTGAAAAAAGAATTGGCTGGCGGCCGCCTGGCTTGCGGATGCACGAACGACGAGTGGACGGCCGAAGGTAACGTAGGTTGCTTCTCGAAGATAGTCGTTCTCGTATGCTTTGCTATCGGTGTCGGGTCATAAGTTAAAGAATTACGTTATAATACATACATGTAGTATACTGTTCAAAAGTCTGAAAAACAATAGACGTGCTTCCGCGAAGCGATTGTCCTGGTTTTTCCAATTTGGAGGAAACATCCCAGGGAACGAGGAAGTTCGACACTCTCGAATTATCACCTCTCGGGGAGCCGCAATAATTCCGGAGGAAGGCGTAATCTCGACAGTGGATACGTTTTTTTCTTTCTTCTCATCTCCTTCTTTTTTTTCCGTCAGAGCAGACCGTTGCCGCCGGTGCAGCGTCGAGATAAAGTCACGAGCAGTAATTATGAACGATAGTAGGGGAGAGAGAGAGAGGATATAATTGTGATTGATGGGGAGACGGGAGAGAAGAGAGACGAGGGAGGACGGGAGATGACTTCCTTTTAATCTCGAACCTAACCCTTTCGCTCATCCATTGCTGTCTCTGGGCCGCAAGTCGATGCGATCCTATTGCCTTTTCCATTTCCAAAAGGAGTTTTCCAACAGGAATTTCGAGACGACCAGTTGATGCTGCCAATGGCAGCCATGGTCCAGGCCACGATCTACCACCGTACGTGAGCAATGGCAAGCAACGTGTACGAGTAAAAATGATCGTCCCAAAGTTCCACTGGTCCATTGCATCTTCGAGATCTCAGCATGGAGACAGAAGCGAAGGAGGAAAGCAAGGTGAACGCATCGTGTAACGTGGCTGGAATCGGGTCCAGAGTCAGATAGGTCAAGTTTACGGGACGCCCTCGATTCTATAAACCCTTTGGGCTTAGCGGGCATCCCCCGGTCTTGTGTTTTGCTTCGGGTACGACCCTTCCTTGCTCGTCCTCGGCCTCCCGACCCTCCTGCTGCGTACCATTAGAGTTTCACCTCGTAAACAGCGGCTACTGACCTTTCAACAAATTACAAGCCCGAGCGCTGCCCCCGCACGATGACATCACGCTAATATTTTCATCCAGCTT